CTTCGAACCGTTGTATTTTAGAAATGATTAAAGATATCTTACTGGAATTGACCAAGATTTTTATAACGGCTATTCCTTTACCCATTACCAAGTATGATATCTCTCTCCCCCTCACTTCCTCACTTCTTTAAGTTACATTTGTTTAATACGGCCCGTCAAAAATGAGTTAATTTTCTTTTCATTTTTTGTTTGGAAGTAAAGTCTGATGATCCGCAGTCCTTTAAAAGGGCTGCGGTGAAATAATTTATTACATGGAACCTTAAAGTGGTCTGTTTTTATTTAAATTATTTGCTCTGGATTTACATTGAGCTCTCTGGATTTTATCCTCCTTAGGTTTACCCATACGGATTACCTAGTTTTTCACAAACTATATATATATATATATATATATGTGTGTGTGTGTGTATGTGTGTGTGTGTGTGTGTGTGTGTGTGTGTGTGTATAATTATAGTAAATTGATCGAGTCTCGAATGCACAAAGCATGGGACTACCGTTTTGTACTATCTTCATCAGCAGTGTGCATCCACTGCTGGGATTCGAACTGTTTCGATGCAGCGCAAGCGTCATACCAACGGGCCTCGGTAACGAAGAAGAAATTGAATAGACTCAATATAGCGCCGCTACTCACAAAATCCGTATTAATAATTCAAGAGATTGTACCTCGACTTTCCTTTCGAACGAACGGCTACATCGCAGAGCATTAGTTGGGTCAAGGATATAAAAGGATTAGAAATTTTGGGATTTAGTCAAATCAGTATAAAAATTCAACGAGTTTAGAAGAAACCTGACCAGATTGAAGAGGAACGGCCGTTTAAGCCTATTTTGGGGACTCATCTGTAGTGTGCGTCTAGTACTGAGAATCCGTTTTGCTACAGCGCAAGCGTCATACCAACTGTACCAACGGGCCTCGGTGGCGAAGAAGAAAGTATATTTAACGGCGCTACATAGAGTCTGTCCAGTTTCTTCGTAAAAAAAAACAAAACAAAAAAAACCCCACCTCAGTCTGTTCATATCTATCTATTTATTTATGTCTCAACATGTTTCCTCTCTCTGCCTATCTATCTATCTATCTATCTCTCTCTCTCTCTATCTATCTATCTATCTATCTATATATATATATATATATATATATATATATATATATATATATATTTGAATAAAAAACAGACCACGTTAAGATTCTACGGATTACCTAATTTTGCATAACTATATATATATATATATATATATATATATAAATATATTTATATAATTTTTATATTTATTTTTCTTTTTTATTTGAAATCTAAGTTTTTTGTTTTGTTTTGATTTTATTTGGTATCAACTATAAATAAAGGCACAATATGTTGACCATATTTGGTTCAATTTTTACATTCCTATAAGTCTAGAACTCTCTCTCTCTCTCTCTCTATATATATATATATATATATATATATATATATATATATATATATATACAGACAAAAATTCACGTAGTATAGACTATTTCAAACTTTCACTACTATACGCCTATATCCTCAGCTCAGGACTATCTGGAAATTATTTCTTTTTAAATTTGGGTTTTAGATAGCGTTATATATAAACCTATATATATTAACCCTAGAAAATAAACCATGGGTATCCGTTGTACCCAGCGCAGATTTCCTTATTGTTAATTACAATTAAAAGTACCTGATTTTTTACCTAAATAATATTTTTTCGGTTCCTATTATTTTAACAAAAAGTCCAAAGTTTGAAGTGCCTGCATGTAAAATATTTCAAATAAAGATTTATATTTGATATTCGTTTTTGATATTTTTAAAATCAGGTATGATATAACCGGAGATGGGTGGTGTAACCTTTAATTGATGGTTAGTGTTCTAGAGTTAAGTGGACACCTCAGTTTTAGATATATCATCTTGATTTTAAAACGACAAAAAAACGAATATCAAATTAAATCTTTATTTGCGACATTTTCATGCACCGTCTCCAGCTGAGGAGAGTTAATTTAACAGTGGTAGTTTTAAATAGACTATATTTAGGTAAAAAAACCAAAGGTACTTTTTTTTGCTGTATAAAATATATGCTTTGTTATAATAAATACATTGAGTTCTCTCTCTGTGGATCCGTTTTCATCAACGCTGATGTTACCAAATTTAAAAATCTGAAATTTTAGATAGTCCGGATCTATTACCTCATTATCTAGTATAAATATATATATATATATATATATATATATATATATATATATATATATATATATATATATATATATATATAGAGAGAGAGAGAGAGAGTTCTAGACTTATAGGAATGTATTATTTACCAAATATGGTCAACATATTGTGCCTGTATTTATAGTTGATACCACTGATTATCAGCTTTTTCTTTTTCGTTAATAATGCTTCCCATATTTTTAGTCGATAATCCTATAAATCTAGATACATATATAAAACAATACATACTTTCAGTTAAAAGTAAAAAATAAAACCATCTTTGATGACGGTTAAAAGTATCACCG